TGTGTCCTGACTACCAGCGGAGATACCGTGGATAATACTGCTACTCCGCTACAGGGTGCGAGAGACTGAGAGACAGGGTGAGAGAGAGAGAGAGAGAGACTGAGAGACAGGGTGAGAGAGACTGAGAGACAGGGTGAGAGAGAGAGAGAGAGACTGAGAGACAGGGTGAGTGAGAGAGAGACTGGAGAGACAGGGTGAGAGAGAGTCTGAGAGACAGGGTGAGAGAGAGACTGAGAGACAGGGTGAGAGAGACTGAGAGACAGGGTGAGAGAGAGATCTGGGAGACAGGGTGAGAGAGACTGAGAGACAGGGTGAGAGAGAGAGACTGAGAGACAGGGTGAGAGAGACTGGGGAGACAGGGTGAGGAGAGAGAGACTGAGAGACAGGGTGGAGAGAGACTGAGAGACAGGGTGAGAGAGAGAGACTGAGAGACAGGGTGAGAGAGACTGGGGAGACAGGGTGAGTGAGAGAGAGTCTGAGAGACAGGGTGAGAGAGAGACTGAGAGACAGGGTGAGAGAGAGAGTCTGAGAGACAGGGTGAGAGAGAGTCTGAGAGACAGGGTGAGAGAGAGATTGAGAGACAGGGTGAGAGAGAGTCTGAGAGACAGGGTGAGAGAGAGCTGAACTGGAGACAGGGTGAGAAGAGACTGAGAGACAGGGTGAGAGAGAGAGTGAGACTGGGGAGAGAGAGGGTGAGAGAGACTGAGAGACAGGGTGAGAGAGATCTGAGAGACAGGGTGAGAGAGAGTCTGAGAGACAGGATGAGAGAGACTGAGAGACAGGGTGAGTAGAGACTGAGAGACAGGGTGAGAGAGAGTCTGAGAGACAGGGTGAGAGAGACTGAGAGACAGGGTGAGAGAGAGACTGAGAGACAGGGTGAGAGAGAGAGACTGAGAGAGTGGGGAGACAGGGTGAGTGAGAGAGAGACTGGGGAGACAGGGTGAGAGAGACTGAGAGACAGGGTGAGAGAGAGAGACTGAGAGACAGGGTGAGAGAGAGACTGAGAGACAGGGTGAGAGAGAGAGACTGAGAGACAGGGTGAGAGAGACTGGGGAGACAGGGTGAGTGAGAGACAGGGTGAGAGAGAGACTGAGAGACAGGGTGAGAGAGACTGGGGAGACAGGGGGAGTGAGAGAGAGAGACTGAGAGACAGGGTGAGAGAGAGACGGAGAGACAGGGTGAGAGAGACTGGGGAGACAGGGTGAGAGAGAGACTGATACTGGGGAGATAGGGTGAGAGAGTCTGAGAGACAGGGTGAGAGAGAGAGACTGGGGAGACAGGGTAAGTGAGAGACTGGTACTGGGGAGACAGGGTGAGAGAGACTGAGAGACAGGGTGAGAGAGACTGGGGAGACAGGGTGAGAGAGAGACTGAGAGACAGGGTGAGAGAGAGTCTGAGAGACAGGGTGAGAGAGAGAGACTGAGAGACAGGGTGAGAGAGAGAGACTGAGAGAGAGACTGAGAGACAGGGTGAGAGAGAGACTGAGAGACAGGGTGAGAGAGAGTCTGAGAGACAGGGTGAGAGAGAGACTGAGAGACAGGGTGAGAGAGACAGGGGGG